TCTTTCCCTTGCCCTGAGCCTTGCCACCTTTCCGACTCGACGAAGTTGCAAAGGAATTCCCAGGGTGAGCCAGAATCACCGGTTTGCAACGAGGCTGCAGCAGCGCTTGCATATCGGGCCTGAGTACAGCAAATTCGTAAATTGCATCGTCCAGCTTCCATCCCTTGTCAGTGACCAACTCGCCGACCTGTTGCCAAAGGCGTTGATCCGCCTGTTGGGCTTCTTGCAGGCTAGGGGCGCGCAGACCTGATGATTGCTCGAACCTGGCACTGAGCAACTGCATGAAGCGGTTTTTGTAAGTATTCAGTGTTGCCAGATGTGCGCCGCGGCAAATCGCGATAGCCAAGTTGTGAACATGCATGGAAGTGTTGACCGCATGCATTCCCATGTTTGCAATGTCAAGCGCAGGAGGCTCATCGCACATGAGATCATGCAACTGCAAGTGCTCCACCTTGGCGAGCTTGGGAGTTCTGGAGTGCACCACTTCGTCATGTTTGGTAATGGACAGCCGCCATTTCCAGGGGATCCATCGCCACTCCTTTGCAGAAACTTGCTTAAACACCAAGCTGAGCAGCCTTGTGCTAGGACAGTTGTCCGCAGTGAGCAATTCGCTAGGATAAGCCTTTTCAAAGGCTTGCTTCAATTCTCTGATCTTGCTCGTAGCCATTCTCGGTGCAAAAGTCTCTGACCAACCCTGCGAGCCTTCAGCCGCCACAGGTGTATCCTGCTCCTCAGATGGCGCAGGAGCGGTTGGAACCTGCTGGCACTTGTTCCACAGCAGGCGAAAACGAGCCAGCGGCAAACCAGCAATGGGCTCCGCAAATGTTTCCGTCAGAAAATCATCAAGATCCTCCAGTCGAGTGACACAGAACTGAAATGTTTCACGCGTCCAACCTGCTTGCAAAAGGTCATCTTGGAAGACATCTGCAATCTGGCACTCATTCATGAGTGAAACAAAAGTGGGGTCGGCTTCGGACGAGTCTCCATGTTCCATTGCTGCCGCAACGCGTTGCAATGTGCCAGCGGATGGTATGTTACCAACAAAAAAGGAAAGAAAGAAAATGTAGATCTATAAATGCACCTGCTTGAAGAGCAAGTTTTCTGGTTGAGCAAAGTTGTTCAAGACACGCATGTCTTTCGCGCCAGGCACGCTTGCCCAGCGCATGTTGCAAGCATGCAACCGCGCAGCAGGCTAGTGAGCCAAAAAAAATACAGGAAACAAATTTAAAAAAAAACAAAAAGGCACGCGAGCCTTTCGCCGGTCACTGCCGCAGCAAGCAGAAATACTCTGCGACATGACACGCAGACATATCTGCAAAAGCACAGGCCTGCGCTTGCCACGCATCAGCAAGATGCATAGAAACAACACGCATGACACAAAGCAAACGACATGTGATTTGCAAGGCGGGATCCCAGTATTAAGGGCAAAACAGAACCCACAAAAAGGCTACAGGAAGGGCACCTTCGGGCGCATGGAACAGAGATTGCCGCCTACAGCACAGGAACACGCATGCCACGTAGAATCCCTAACAGAGGCACCAAAGCAACAAACGAGCAATGTCACACTCGGCAATCAAAAAAAAAACAGGCCCCATGATACGCAAGCCAAGTCGTCATTGTCGGCAGGGCAATTCTTGCCTCACCTCGAGACACGCATGTCACAAGCCACGAATGCCGCAACTGGACCTCGCTAAGTCCCTGCAGCGTCTTTTTCCAAGCTACATGGAAAAACAAATCACCAAAGGGTTATGTTTTCAACCCATTTTTGTGAAACGCATTGAGACACGCAGTCCTTTTGCAGATTGCTTTGTTGTCAGGGAATTCCTGAGTCAGAACAGTCTTATCTGCAGTAAAATTGCAGTGGCACGCCGATTTCCAAAAGAAACCGTCAGCACAGCGAAACCAACTCGATTCGGTTCGCACTGCAATGTGCACGGTTCGCGCCGAGCACAGGAAAAGACATTCGTCACTTACGTCTTCAATGGCAGAGTCAATAGGCTGCGGCTCCTCGTTCGGGCAAACGCATGTTGTGCCAAGCGTGGGTTCAACCTGTTGCTCACGGTTGAAGCAAGACGCTTCTTCACTGTGCTGCTGCTCACTGTTGAAGACAGAAGGTTCTTCACTGTGCGCGTTACCCGGCCGTAATTGGAAATCTGCCAGATCGCGTGCGAAATTCTGCATGTCAGGCGCCACGTGGCTGGGCGGCACACGATGAAACAATTCAAGAGAGCCATTGAAATCAGCCAACAAACTGGGGAGCTGCAAATCAACTGCTGGGTCCGACAGTGGAGCTTGCCCTCCTCGGTGTAAAGGAGTGGCCGGTCGCCACCCCTTTTGGACCGAACTGCAAATAAAACGTTGTAGCATCAAGCTGCCGTGCACATCATCTCTCGAATACAATCTGCAGCTAGCCAGTTGAGGGGACTTATGGTGTCTCCTGGTGTCGGGGGGCAGATTTAGCTGATGGCTCCAGCTCAAAATGGTGCTCTTCATACTATGCAACGTGTACTGCTTGCGGACTGCAGGGTGAATTGCTCCTCCGCCAGTGTCCGCAATGAAATACCGGAACCAGCTGAGCGCTCGGCCATAAGTCATGGGTTCAGAAATGGCACCTTCCGAGAGCTCGAAGAAAAAGTAATCCGGGATTATGTCATTTCCGAAATGAGACCGTGACGATCTCCAATAAGCTTCCAGAATTGAAAGCCATACTTCCATCCAATTGCACTTAGGACAACCCATTAGCCCAAAAGAAAAGCATCCGAATGGCATGCCTTTACGACTTGTCTTCGTTTGGTAGGACACGGCCCTGATGTTATCAGTCTCGAGGCAAACAGAATCCCATCGTACATGCTGAGCATCACTGAAACGCAGACTTGAATACACACACATGAGGCAAGCGCCCAGAAAGGCAAGCTCTGAATCTGGGCGCCGACGAAAAAGGATGTCCAGCTCCCATTGGCATAATAGAAACAAAGGCAGTGGGAGGCTTTCCCTACGCTCCCTGAAATCAGGAGGGATCAAGAAACTACTCAACAAGGAATCATACAAGTCTGGCCAGCATGAAATTGATGCCGTTTTTTCAACCCAGCGCAACGCCTTCAATGCACCAATTGGGGAAAGCATGATATCCTCACTGTCCAGCAAGGATTCCAAAGCATCAGCCAACTGCACCACACTGAAACTTTTCAACTCGATCTTCAAATCCTGCAGGTGCTGAAACAAACTCAATGCCTTGCAAGAATAAGCCACAATTGTGTTGTCAGAGAAGCGGCTCAGAATTCTCTGCGTGTGCGAAGCACGCAAAACACCATGGTCGCTGATGTGGTTGACACAAAGCAACACTTGATCCCATAAGAGTCTGGCCTTACGCTTGTTTGCCGCGTGCTTTGAAGCCATGGTAGTAAAAGTGTCAGCGCTGCCACGAATCTTAGGCTTGCTGCCAAGCTCACTTGTCTTCACATACCCGTCGCATATTGTATGTCTTGGCGCAGGAAGAATATCACACAAATCTGCTTTGTAGTCAGCCAACCAGCTCTTTTCAGTGGAAACCGCAGCATCAGCAGCGCGCTGCAAACTTCTTGGCGCCGGATGTCTGAGCGGAGCTGACAAGACGAAATCGCCAGAAGGAACTGGGTGAAATCTGCCCCTTGTAGCTCGCACTGGTGCAGGCAGAGGCTCCATGCTCGGTTGCATGCGTTGGTGCTGGCTGCCCCTTGAGTGCCCCGCAGCAAATTTTGCTGATGCCTGTAAAACAGGCGGAGCCGCCAAAGATATTTCAGCGCTCGTCATGTCAGATTTGCGTTTGTTTTGCTTGGCAATGCAAATAGCCATGGCGGCAAAGAGGCAACAAATCAGACACACCCCGAACACTATGTTCGAGGATGTGAATGCACCCCTGCACCCCGCTAAGCATCGAGCACCAGAATGTCGCACGAAAAGATCATCATGGGTAAAAACACACATGAACAAGTACATGCAGCGTTTCCATGCCCTGGCCATGACCATGACCTGGCCATGAAATCCCAAGGGTCTGCCCTTCTAAGGTTTCCACCAGGACATCGGCGCCGCACTGTACGGACAATTCCCTCCGCTGCCTGAAGAATAGGCACCACCTAGCAGACAGATTCACATTCGAGTTTGTCCCCCCAAATGGGTGGCTTGGCTTCTTTTGTTGGTTTCCCTCGAAACCACGCCCAAAAAGGGTACCTGCAAAAAAAAAACGCTGGCTCCAATGAACGGCGCTCACTTTTCAGCGCTGATCTCCTTAAGAAGCTCGCGTTGGGATGAGGCGTGCTCTCCAGGAGGTCATCCCCATCATTGACCGCCACCTGGCACTGAACTGGCGACCCCCGGCCATGACTCGCTCGGCTGGCGGACTCGCGCCGGCGCGAGTCAGCAAAATGGCCCTCAGCCAGGGATGGGCGCCTCGATGATGAGCAGGTCAGGGCGCTTTGTCAGCACCAAATCGCTGACCACCAGCGAGAGCCTCTCCGGTCTCCAGCCCAGACCCCAAGGCCAGCAAGGAACTGAGACACCGGCGGCCGGCTGCCAGCTGTGCCAACCGCTGCTGGACAGTCCTGGAGCCACTCTTCAGATGCAAAACGCGGGCAGAAACCAAGTACCGCCTGTCTCATGGCATGCGCGAAACCCAGCTTGCCGCGATTCAGTTGCACACTTCGAGCCGCAGATGCGGCAGGGCCTCCACTGCCACGCCTCGCCTCTCGAGTGCCTGCACAAAGTGGGGGCGGTACCTCGAGCGTCTGCGCACTGCATGGCTTTCAGCTCAGTTCCGCCGGGTCGCACCCTCGGCTTTGGAGGGAGATAGAGCCGCCCAGCACGCAAACCTTGCACCGCCGCTGTTTCAGAGCCTGGCAATGCCAAGTCAGTCGCATCTGCCCCTAGCTCGCGCCATAATTCCCCCCCCCCCCCCCGCACTAAACTGAGCGCACCGGCTTCAGACACCATAATCCTCCTGGCCTTGGGGAGAAAGCATTGCCACCTCACAGCCTTGCACCAACCAAGCAACTTCTTCACTGCCTGATGCCCGCAAGCTACTGTTCCAACTGTTGGGCTGGTCATGGCCCTGGCTGGAACACCAAGTTCTTGAAGTGTGCCTCCTTGTCGAAATCACCTTTGTCAGGCAAATTGGAAGCACCGCACTAAACAGGACACGTGCCTTGAACTCTGGGGGGTGACCATGCAGGCGCCCACTCCTGCCGATGTCAAATGTTGTTTCGGGCGGTTGGTGTGCCACGCTCCGTCAAGCACTCCGTTGCCACCACTTGTCTCCTGTCAGCCTGGCTGGCACGATTCAGAACATCCTTCTTCGCACGGAATCCGCCTCAGCGACGCCATGGGCAGCAAGAAGCTCCACCTGAACATCTTAACGGCGGCGAAGTTCGACCCCGCGGTGTCTGCAAGGCGCACTGTGCAAAATGCGCTCGTCTCAGACCTCACTGGGCAATAGCTCGTGGAGGTGCCACGCCAAACTGCCCAGTCTCACACTAAGGGGATGCTGAGGATACTGCGCCTCTGTCTGGACCACAATGCCAGCACGCTTCTGGACTGATGCCTGACTGCCGTGCACGTCAGAAAGCAAGGTTCTGCCAAACTGCAACCACAAGGCATCGATCGTTTCCTCACATCAGATGCCGTCATGCCAACATGTTCCAAAATATGCGTTGCGGCTGTTACGCCAAGTTTGCGCCACCAGCGCAAGATTGCAATGGCGCGAACCCTTGTCAAAACACGATTACCGAAAAAGCACGTGCAAGCATTGCGGCGCCTGCTGTGGCACCCAGACCATTTCCCCAATGCCAGGCCAGCCCGCTGCCTGACGAGAGCTCAGGGTAGCATGGCAGCTTTGGCTTCCGTGAGAGCACGGCTCTGGTTCTGCGAAACAACCATGCTTGGGACGTGCTTTCATTCTTTGAGCCGCAGTGTTACAAGGTTTCTGCCGTGTTTCCTGGTGGTCCTGCGGTGGAGGACGGGGGAAAAGCTGCTACCGGCAGAACGGTGTGGATTCGGAGGGGGGACGGCTCGAAGCTTCGAAAGCCCCGGCCTGCTGGCGACTTTGGCCAGCCGGCGCGGCACCGTAGCCGCGCGAGTCGCGAAACCCCCCACCTGGCAGGCGCTGCAGCGGGTCCTCTGCCTGAGGCCCCTCCACAGGGAGGTGGTCCTGCACACCATCCGGATCATGACAAGACTCGTGAGGAAGGCGGCGCTGCCGGGTGTTTGTACATACCCCTTTTACATACACCGTTTCCAAATGACCCCAGGGGCTGGCTGTGCATGACCCTCCCCCCGAAAAAGGGGTCTATATCCTTTATAAAGTGGGTGGATGCCAGGCAAGCCGAGGGGTATGGACCAGAAAACGCGCACTTCCGCCCGACAAGTCCTTGGAGAAGCAGTTGCATCGCCTCAAGTGTGTGCGTGTCGTGCAGGCAGCTAGATCTGCGTTCTGGCCTGCCTAGGGTCATCCAACTAACTCACTGAGGATACCTCAAGCCCTCAAACAAAACATCCTCGCCACTTATTTGCTGCCACTTTTCCATTGGACTTGTTAGCGCATCCCCGTCTGGGCCCCAGATCTGACAGATCACGAACCGCTACTGCTCCAGTGGGGACACCTCTCACAAACTGCACGCCTGGCCGCGTATCACCAGAACCAGACTGGGTGAATAGGAGGCGATCAGCCATCAGCTGACACAAAACATGCGGACGCCTTACAATAGTTGCAATCAAGCTGGTCGACACCAATCTGAATATTGATTCTGAGCCCTTGGGGTTAAAGAATGCTTCTTTCACGTGCCTTTTGCTCATGACTTTCTGGAGAAAGTCTGGAACCCATTGCTGACTAGTGTGCGAGGAACCATCCACAACGCAGAAACCGGTGACAAGATTGAACATTGGCTTGTCCGAAGAATTGGGGCATCAGGGCTGTCCAATAAGTAAGGGCTCAGCACAGGCACATAAGATGTAACTTGCCGGGGTGGGACATCGGCTAAACTGAGACTGCAAGTACACTTTGGCGACAGCTGCAAAGCTAAGGGCCTGCCAAGAGCAGCCGGAAATCGGCTAGCGCATGACGCCGCGCGTTCCCTAGCCCTCACACAGACCCCAGGGTCTAGGCGCGCGGCACGCATCTGAAGATCTGGGCCGAGGCGGCCGGACAGCCTCGCAGGTGTCTTGCGCCTTGTGGGCATGCCCCCTGCAGCGAATTGTTGAAAAAGAGCCGCTGCTTCGATGCTGGGATGGCAGCCCACATGCCGCAGAAAGCCCTCGCAGCCACCGCAATCTGGATTCCTGGCCGGGCATACTTCAAGAGCTTTAAGGCCGCCTGGCAACATGAACAGCTCGCACATGGCCGTGCCTACATTTGCCCCGCCGCAGTCCAAGCAAGTCCTGGAATCGGGACACATCAACCAACAGGATGATTCCCTTGCGAGCTCCTGATCGACCATGCAGCCGTGCAGCCCAAATCGCCATGAGCGGGCCGGAGCACGATCTGATCGACTGATCGACGTGTGCCAGTGTCAAAATTTGACATACCCTCGACGAACACGGGTAGAGGAGAGAGTCGTCTGGTTTTTGTTGGAAACTTAGAGCATCCTTCCAAATCCCCCATGTTCCTTCCAAATTGACCATGGACTGGATGTATTGACCGATCCTCACATTGGTAGATATCTTGGAACCATTGATCCGCTAAGTTGTTCTGTTAACTCATGTGCTTGCCCTGGGTGCTAAGCGCAAGCCCCGCCGGATTATTACAGCGCATGGCCCTGCACGAGACAGAGAACAGAGAAGGGCCTGCCCGTTTTGCTTCGCAGAAACGTGTGTGAACGGATACGGCCCTCCCTGGGAGGGCAACCAAACGCGAACCTTTGTGCATGCTAGCCTTTTGAAGGCAGCGAGGCAGAGTGAAACTAAGACACGTTTCGAGAGCTGGCATATGATATATACCACACCCTGGCACGAAGCTGCTTCCTCAGCGCAGGTCAGCCTTGGAAGAACAACACATCCCTCCAAGCGGGTACTGCGAATGCTGAATTTGACGCAAAATTCAGGAATCGTTGCATCTCTCTATCTCTCTCTCTCTCCCGCTTGCGTGGTTTCTCTGTCTACGTGTGTGTTCTATTGTCTCCTTCCGTTGCCGCTTGAATCTGAAATCTGCATGCAATCCTCGGCCTTTTCAAAATCAGCACATTCCAACAAGCTCATCCCCAGCAGCAAGATAACATGGATGCAGACAATCGTTGGGTGATCATCAACTGCATGTAAACGCTGGCAACTGGAGCACCTCCTGAGTTTAACAATTAGCTGTTGCGGCATCTCATGCCACCATTGCTGGCCAAGAGGGTAGCGCAAAGCCAGCAGTGCAGCAACGAATACGGCCTCTCTCTCTCTCTCTCATCAATCACGCTGAGGCGATGTCCGCTGCTGATGGCAAGAAGCGAATTGGCCTTTGCAAGATTGCAAGACCGGAAGGCCTTGGCAAATCACAGGCGGCTTGGCAACCGATGACCCTCTGCACGTGTATTTTTCGCCACGAATTGAGAAAGGCCAACTTTACCAAAGAATGACATCTCTTGTCCCAAGGCCTCGAGCAAGGCCAGACACCCACGCACTTAGGCTCAGACAAGCTCCCGGAGAGGAACCTCTTCCTGGCGACGGCACGAGCCATACAAAAGCCCCGCAGTCTCGCACACTGTGTCCTTCTCTGCATCCTCCTTATTCTCCTTAAGGTACCGAAGGATATGTCCCAGACGGTCCTGCATCACGGGGACTCTGGAAATGGCATGGCACCCAGCACCTTCTCCAATTTCCATCCACTGCTCCCGGTGCCAACTGACAAAGCAAGCAGTGTACACACAAACTACTGCTACAGGCCCCCCCAAAATACCGAGGGGAGTCAAATTCAGGTGGAGCGAGCTTCCCCATTTCCAATCAAAGCATATCAAAGCTGCACCGCTGTACGGTCCTTGGTGGACTCGTCACTATTGTTTTCCCGCAGGTAGCGGACCACGTGCCACATGCGCTTAGCCTTCCACAAGCCAAGTTCCCAAATAGTCTGCCGCAGTAAATGGGGCAGGTGCGTCCCCCCATGTGTGATTTGCAGTGCTCATTGGGCAAATGACAATTTTGAAATAAAGGTGCCGTGGCCATCAGAAAGAAGCTCGCACCCTGTGTCCGTTGCTATGCCCACCCAAGAATGTGACGAGCAGTGGCAAAATGGCTCCCCAACTTCCTCACGTCGCCGCAAATGGGCCACTCACTGCAGATCAGCCGAGAGCTGCCAGCCTCGGCCAACTGCAGCGGCGTGAAGCCATTGGCATTCGCCGTCTCCTTGGCACCGGCGTGGACCAGAAGCCTCACGACCTCAGGAACCCCCCAGCAAGTTGACCCAGTTCTCGTTTCGTTTTTTCGACGGCCCGAGTGCTGCCAGGCCGACGGCCGAAGCCCGGGCTCGGATGTTTCCCTCACTTTCCGCACCTTCTGCAAACCCAAGCTGGCGGCGGCTCTTGCCGCCGTCTTTTAATTCTCGTGCTATCTAATTGTTCTGCCTTCAAAAGGCCGACCCGCCGGCATGGAGCATCGGCACGCGAGTTTGAAGCTTTGACCTGCTAGCCTCACGCCCAGTTGCTTGAGGCCTTGATCTGTGGACCTCATCTGCATCCTGATTCGGAGCTGGTGTGCATGCTGGGGTCGAAGCCCCTTGGGCCATGCGAGCTAGCAGAACTTCAATCCTCTCATCATCATCCAACTGGACGGACTGGACCTTTGATGCAACCTGCGGGCTGGGTCCTTTCGGCTTTCCATCCTCATGCGACATCTGTGGCGTATTGCTGACGTCTTGGAAGACGCTCCTGCCAGAAGCCGCACCATTGCAGTCAGCTTGAACTGGTCGCATGGGCAGCTCTGGGAGCTTGACTCGGTCGATTGCGCCCGCAAGCTGCTCAAGAAATTGAACCCAGCTGCCGAGCCAGTCGGATGAGCTTGTGTTCGGCTTTGCACTGGCCCATTCCATGGACTTCTTGAGCTGGGCCTTTGCCTCAGCCACCTGAGCGGAGCATTTCTCAGACTCTTTGCATATACTTTGGACTGTCGCTGCGAGTCGGGCAACGGACAAATTGGCCAAGTGCTGACTGAGACCGGATTGCGCGTGCGATGCTGCGCGGCAAATCCGTTGGCAGCTCGTGTCAGCGTCGTGCAGGCAAACTCCCTGCGCTGCGCGCATGCCCTCGCGCAACTCGTCCGCCTCGGCACGCAGTTGTGCCTGCACGCCCTTGCCCGAAGTGCAGGATGCTTCCACTAGAATGGCCTCAGACACGAAGTCGAGGAGAGACAGTCCGGACACACCCTCAGTCTCCCCACTGCCCCGCAGCTCGTCCAATTTCAGCAATCCTTCTGGGAGCACTATGGCACGAGCACTGCCCCGAGCAGTGCCTCTGTTCATCACATTCCCAACTGCCAAGCAGGTGCTGATGAATCTTTTCACCAAGATCGAGCTTTGCAACCTCCGGCACCCGTCCCGCACTCGCTGGCATGCCAGCGACAACTCAGGCAGTTCCGGAGCCAAGCCCACAATGAGGGCCCCGCTCGCGATTTTGGCAGCGCACACTGAATTGTTGGCCATGACCCACAAGTATCTTTCAGGCACATCTAGTTGCATCAGGTCTGCTTCACGCACATCAAGCGACTTCAGCTGCTCGACAGCATCCTTTTGCTCAACAGTGGCAGAATTCAGAGCCATGACCGCTTCTGGTGCCAAGCCATCTGGGAAAGTTTCCAGGGTGTCCACCACCTGTGCCAACTGTTCTGCAGGCGGGAGCTTGTTGAAGGAGATCGCAAGCAACTGGGACGTGCGATCGTCCAGCACTCTCAGCTTCTTCTTGGGCTCGTCCCCGGTGGCATCCACGGCCTTGCGGGGAGCACGCGCCTCTGCCATCGCAAAGCGCCTCTCCAGCAGGGAAGTGTCAAAGGGCACAGGTGGCCCCAGGCTGCTCCAAACGCTCTCTGTCGGCACTTGTCCAACCGTCTGCCAAAACAAAGGCCGGAGCTTCGGGCCATCCGGAGCTTTTCCCGGGGGGCGGCTGGGCGGGCGTGGCGGCGGCCCGGGGGCCTTGCCCTTTCCCTTCGGGCCGCGCGGCCCCTTGGAGAGTCCCTTCCCCTTCGGCTCCGACATTGCAAGGGTCCTTGCGAGCCCCAGGCTGCGTCAAGCCAGAGACAAAAGGTGTTTGAAGTGCAGCCAGCCAGGGCTCCCTAGATTTCCCCTCAAATCGCCTGTATGAAGGGAAGCTCACTTTAAATGGGCAAAAAAGGTGGTGTTTAAAACCACCAAAAGGGGAAATAACTCGGGACCCCTGTCAGTGGAATGGCAATGCCAGGAATGGCTTCGCACAGTGAGCTGCGAGGAGCCAGCCCCTATATGGCCCGCGTAGGCTCCAAGGTGCAGTGGGCTATCACCGCTGCCTGGGGCTTGCGCAATGCGCAAAAGGCGAGGCGTGCCACCAACATCTCGCAGACCCGGCGTGCCACCAGCCAGCTCTTGCAACATGAGAGGCTTGAGAGCCAAGCCATCTGGCGATGACACATCCAGCGAGTACTCAGTGAGGAGGTACTGCCTTCCAGAACGGCAAAAATTGCCAATGCGTCTGTCTCAAAGGGATGCGGACCCGCGAGGTTGGCTTCCTTTGCTTTCCCTTTAAACCAACACGAAAAGGGTACCGAGCCTCAGAGAAGACACCCAAATGGCTGTGGGCCGAAAAATAGGTAGCCAAAATGCAACCCTGGCAAACTGGTCCAAGGACTCAAACCTGCGGTTCACATACCCAAATCGTACGCCACCCGGGAGCTCTTGGCGCAGCACATGAGGCAGTTGTTTCCAGACAAGGCCGCCCAGTGCAGCACCTGGCACGCTCCGCTGGAAGCTCCTGGGTCTCGCTCCGTCTCCGAGCGCCAGACTCCCCTGCCGGAGTTGTCCCTCTCCTGGATGCTGGCCGACTGGGACAGGCAAAACCTGTTCCGGGCAGAAAGGCAGTCTGGGGCTGACTCTGGGGCTAAACCCCTGGGTCTACCAACTCCTAGCCAGTGAGAAGTGGGAAGGGTCCCCGGGTGTCCCGGAATCTAAGTCTCGGAATCAAAGCTGACATGCCACGGCCACATTGCCAGCTCCAGCGATCCGGTTCGGGCAGCGCGGATCAGCAGCGTGGCTCCATCCCACCTTGCAACATGGGGTTGATCAAAAGGTTCTCAAAGCATGGGATGACCATTGCCTAGAAAACCACCAAAAAAATGCTATACTCCACATGGAAAAGCTACCATGGAATATTTTGGGGCCAGGAATACTGACCCACCCCCATGCATCACCCATTCTTCAAGCCACGCCATCACACATGATCATGCATGCAAGCATGTGCCTGTGTGTGTGTGTGTGTGCGCTTCAACTCTTACTGCACGCTGCAACAGCTCCCACTGGCAAGACTTCTGCCGACGAGCGTCTCTGGGTTGCGCCAGTCGACTTTGGCACCAGCTTTCAACGCCTTCACTACGCGTCATTCGCAGGAACACCATGCATATTTCTCAAACCTTGCTCGATAGTCCTTTGGCTGTGGGTCGAAACATTTTGGGGTAGGTGCACCAACCATTTTAGTCGATTTTAGTGGGGATTGGGATGTTCACTATGGGTTTGTGACCCATGGTCATTTTGGCACCGTCGCTTCCCTGGACCTACCACGCTCATTCAAAAGTGGGGCGTGCCGGCGTGCCGGGGCCTTCTTGATGCCCGGGAATCTGGAGTCGGACTTGTTCAGCTTGGCCAGGAAGGCCTCAGCTGCTTTGGGAAGCCCAGAGCTCACTGCCTGAGTGGATGAGCCCAAGAAGGTCCAAGCTCTTTGTTTACCAAAATGGTCTTCCCAAAAAGTATCAAGTCCCTGAACTCCGGAGTGAGCCATGCACCTCACCAACCAGCCTGATTGTTCGGCTGCCCTTCTTTCTGAAGCGCGGCGACTTCTTCCTGCGGCATCACAAAGCATCTGCCCAACACAGCCAGCCATTCCATCGCAATCCCACCGCAAAAGCAACAATCCTGGACCAGGTACTCGCTACCGTGGATGGCGGTCCACAACTTCTTGCTTGCTACTTCTGCCTTGCAAGCGCGCTCTGCATTGGTCCGCTAACATGTTCATCCAGCCTGCTTCTCTTTGGGGTCATCCACCGGTGGCCCCTTGGTTTTGTTGGCGAACGGCTCAAGCATACCGGACGGCTTTGAGATGTGGGCAGCAGTCGTCAGGGCTTGCCTTAGCATTCACGCTGCCTCTCCCTTCTACACAGTCGCGATGACATCGCGCACTTAGAACAGGACTTGGCAGCTACAATGCCAGGCAAGCTTGACGTGGAGCTCACATGCCAGGTTGGGGGAAACCTTGGTGCGTCATTACCACCCTGAGCACACCCGTGCAGCAGCCAAAACTGAGGAAGCAGCGGTTGTGAATGGGCAGGTGCCCTTTCCACCTGAAGCCCCAGGTGGCAACAGTCAAACTTGCGCAGCCACTCCGAGCTTAGTCATATTCCAGCAAACCGCAAAGCCTTCCAACCTTCTGAATGATAACATGAGCATCCATCCTGCCGGGAGTCACTCCTTAAGCAAGATTCCCTGCAAGACAACAAAGCTCCAGGGTGTTTCACAAAGCCCTTGCAGCTTTCACTGGAAACTTGCTAAGCGAAGGCCCGGGCATACCGGGCACCCTGGGCCTTCCTGGGCTTCCTGGGCCTTCCTGGGCCTTCCTGGGCCTTCCTGGGCCTTCCTGGGCCTTCCTGGGGCAGGCACGGTGCGGGAGCCCAGGGTGGGCACGGACCGAGTTCGCAACCTGCGCGCAAAAATTATTTGCCCCGGCTCGTGTAGATGAATGAAAGTAGCTGTGCATGCATCAACAAGTTTCCCTTGCAGTTTGTGTTCTTTTCTTTCTGGTGGACCATCGAAGGATGTGAAAGGGAGATCGCACGACCGCGCACAGAGGTAAAACACACACACACACACAGTGACAACGGTGAGAGAAAGAGAGAGGAAGGAAATGACATGGTGCGCGTAGTACATGCCAGTTACCTCACGTTTCTGCAGGTGAGCCATAAAAATGATGTAGCTGGGGTAGAATCACGCAATAGAAACCAAAGTCAATATCCAATATTTACATCTTACACAACAGCATCGAGAACTGGGGTCAGCAAAGGCTTGAGGTGGTTAGGCCCGTGCTTCGCCAAGCAATCCCTGGATAGCTTGATGGTGCGTAGTAGGGAATAACCTGGCTCGAGATCAACCTGGGCTGCCGGCATCGTCTGATTCAGCCCCATCTGCGTCGTCTGGCTCATGGTCGTCTGCCCGAAAGTCTGGCTGGACCTCACAAGTCTGTGGCAGGGCAATACAATTGCCTGTCAATGACTTGACAGCTGATTGGCTGTGCGTCAAAACCAATGGTACCATTTTGGGCTAGGTGCACCACCCATTTTAGTCTATTTTAGTGGGGATTGGGATGTTCACTGGGGGTACGGGATTTTGACCCATGGCCATCTGAAGCCCCAACTTCGGAGCTGTCGTGCTTCCGGTCTTCCACAGGGACGATCTAGACAAGCCCTAGCGCATGCAAACTACGGCAAGCTTGCGCATTGTGCTGATCCTGCAGCCGGGGCATTGGATGCCCCAGTTCCCTCTATTCGCACTTGAAGGGTTCATCGACCAGAACTGCTTCTGAGCGCCTTGTTCAAGCCACGGTATCCGCTGCTGCGGGCGAAAGCCTCAAAGCCACCTCGGTCACCATGTGCTTGCCGCAAGCTGCAAGCTGCCCCTCTGCGGAGCCAGCCATTCTCGGCAACAGCTGCGAAAAATTCAGGCGATTCCTGGCTGAAGTTGGCAGATTGGCAGGCAATTATGTTCTGCCCATACTGGTCGACCTGTCCTTGCGCAAGATTGTGCTTTGTCCCAAGTCCTTGGGAAGGACATTAGCGGGCCAAGGAAAAGCCAGCGCTGGACCAAGGTCGCAACGGGGCGATACACTTCTGCATAATCTGGTTCCGCATGCTCGGTGCCGGCTCCGGTGGTGGCAAGTTTCGCCTCAGCATGCGAACGTCATCGCCGCCACTCCCATCATTGCCATCACATCGTCAAGCCTCGAAACCTCATGGAAAGCCGCCCAACGCCTGAGCAGCGCGCGCGCAGCCGAGGAAGCGAATAGTCTCCGCCCCATTTCAGCATCACCTGGCCGTGCGCGCGCGCGCGCGCGTGGGGCTTGCGCGCGTACGGAAGCCAAAGCGCGCACCTCCTGGTGAAAAAAAACACGGGAGCGAAAGGCTCAGGCTGAAGCAAACGGCTGAGACGCGGAAATGCAACCCAGGAACCCCACTCACATCCCAAATAACTCGGGTCTCAAGCCGCGAACTCTTGAGCGCCCAAAACTCATTTCCTTAGTTCTACCAACATGGTTCTAAAGGTTTCTACAGGCCTTGCTACAAACCCCAAGAAGCCAGGTAGTGACACTATCTACTGAAATTGGCAATGGGAATCGGTTTTGAGCGCTGCTCCTTTGTCCTTTTTGCAGACCACCCACAGGTCCGCTCTTGCCTTCCAAGAGCAAAGCCGAAGCCCAGTTGGCTTTACATGAGCTTCGGCCAACCTCTGACAGCCGGCACCCTGACAGCTCAAGGCAAGCTGAACAGTAACTGTCGGGTACTTTTGCTAGCCCCGGGAGGATCGCAGCAAGCTCCCCCCCCCCCGGAAGCGACAGCCCAGTCCGACTTGCAAGTACAAGCTGTTTGTGTCTCAATTGCGACTGCGGAACCCACCGTTTGTCGTTTGTTTGCCAATAGTGTTGAATGCACTGGCCCGCGTTGGTGCGCTTCAATCCAGCCACGTCCTGGTCCTGCCGCAGCAAGAATAGTGCATGGATCTGGTTTGCTTGGGGCTTGCTTGTTGTAATCAGTCTGTGCTGATACCCGGCAAATGCAAGTCTTCACACACCTTCAAGCATCTTGGCCGTGAGCTGACATGAAGAAGACAAGGCAAGGAACGGATGCTGGAAGGCTGAAAGTGGGAGGCGGAGGCTGAGCATCAAGTTTTCGGAAGCACCTCCACCCGTGCACAATCCCGCCAAAATGCGGGCTCTTTTCCTGGGCATTGGTATTGGCTCAATGCACGCAGTAGGTCCGAAACCCAAGGACTGCTTCTGGTCCTGTCTAGTGATGAGTTCCCGTCTAATTACACAGATTCAACGGCTTTGCCAAGTGAAAGAGAACTAGTCGGCTCCCTCAGAAACGAGAGCTTCCTGGAGGGAGGGCAAGCAAAAACACGACCCAACTCATCTCGCAAGCGCGCGAGGGAAACAAACAAAAAAGCGCGTGCTGCCGAGCATCCAAATGGCTTGGGAGGACAGATGGCTTGAAAGTAATCCTCGCGCAGAAACAGGTCCCACAATGGCAATAGAAAAATGCCCGGCACCTGGCCAGCCTTCCACAGGCTCTTGCTTGCAGCGCCAGCCCTGGGCTGATGATGGCCAAGATGCTGCCCATCCAATCCAAAAGCCCCGCCCCGCAATGCGCTACGTTGGGTCACTGATGTCTTCTACTGGCCGCTGTCTTTTTCCGGAAACACGCGCCAAACATTGGATTCATGGGTGACTTGTTTGCTAGCCAAGCTTCTTCTTAGGCGACATGGAGCATGTCTCAGCTGCAATGCCGCTGGGCTTGCCAAAGCACTGCCTCAGCTTGCAAACTTCCAACTCAAGAGGCATAGATCATTACGATTACTTTGCCGTTTGGGTTTGAACTCACACAGCCCTTCCGCTGTTCAGTGCCTCTCCGTTGGCTGCTTTCCGTGAATGGCACGCCCCACCCCGACAGGGCACGGCTCTGGGTTGACTTGGCGCGACTTCTGCGCGAGCTCCGGTGCTTCGGCGGCTTCGGAGGACCGTCCAAACTGGCTCGGTGCCTGCCAAATCGGTTTTTAAAGGGTGGCAGACAAGAGCAGCACAAGGCCCTGCCATTTCACGAAGTGCAACCAAGCCACGATCATACTGCCGAAAGTGAGCTTGCTTGGAAGTATTCAGCAAGCTGCTACTGCACCTTGAGCCTTTGCCTTGATCTGGGGCACACGAGGCAAAAATTGAAGAAAGAAAAAAAGCTGGGCAGCTAAGCTGTATCAGTTCGATTTTGCCCTTTTATATTTTTTTTCCTCCTGCAAGAGGTCAGAACGTGAGAACGGAGCATGACCCGGCCGGACTTCTTGATGCCGGCGCTTTCGGCCAATCGCCGTTGATTTCTGGAGCAAAAGTGTGTTCTGCGCGAACTCCGGCGAGCTCAGCATCACCGCGAAGGCCTTGACGAGTGATGCATCGAAGCCAAGTTCTGCTCACGATCGCAAGATGAGTGAGTATTTGGGAGCGGGTTAACTCGCTGTCATTAACTGTCTCACCGGCAGTAACCCCTAAGGTCAAGAGATGGAGCGTGGAGACCCTGAGATCTTAACAGTTGATACGCTTGGTATCTTGAAAGGCTTTCCAGAGTAGATTCTCATGGATCCATCCGTTGCAGCCGTCATCCTGTCTGTTCCCTTCGATCACTCACCCAATGTCATCCACATAAAGAATGGAGTAACATTAGGAATGGACTGATGTTGAGATGACATTTGTTTATGTTCTATATGTGTCTTGTTCATGTGTTATTACATGTCTTCTTTACACATCCTTGTTCAATACTATTTTGATGTTTAACTTGTTATTGGCAATATCATTTTCATTAACATCTTAGCACACAATCTCGGAGAATGAAAACGATGACAAAAATGATATTAGCATTCCCACTTCCAGCTTCCAGTTCCTATAGAATGTTTTCAAGCACAATCTCAACATAACATGTTCATTGTCTGGCTTATCTTCAAGGTGGCACTATCCTTGCTAAGTTAGTTGTCTTTATAACTGAAATCCAAACACCCTGGCCTCGATCAGCACGTCACATGATTGCCTCTAGTCTTTGGACTTTCCTGGCTAGTCCACACCGGCTCCCTGCAAATGCTCAGATCCGCCGTCCTTTCTTGTTTTTCTTGTGATGAAAGCGAGGCTTCTTGCCTAGAGCTGACCAATCGCAGGGGCACCATGTGACCCCAACAAATCGGCCAAGGACTCTGCACTCCCGCCTGCGAATTTGTCGCCCTCCAGGTTGTAGGCTTTAAACCGGGTTGAGCTTACAGTGTCAGTTGAACTGCCAGCTGCACTCCTATGCAATTCGCACGCCACATGTCCAAAGCACCAGCACGTCACACACAAACGCACACGCACGCATACCCCGCCTTTGTGGGCGTCGATTCTTGCCCTCCTAACAGGATGTCTGTTTAGGTTTTGAATTGAGCCCGCTAGAAAGATGCCAGCGGTCCTGAGTGCCACCTCCTCCTTTACCACGTCCCTTGCCGTCTTTGCCCTTTCCTTTGCCCGTCTTGCCACCCTCTGCCTGCACTCGCTCAAGACATTCCATTTGCCAGGACGTGTGCCTGCCAATGGGCTCCTCCCGGGCTCTAACACCCCGGGCTCGCCTCACCCTCATCTCGGTAGGGGCGCAGCTTCTTTAAGGAGACCATTCTATTCAGCTCGCTGCCTTCCATAGCACTGGCAAAAGTTTAACACACCAAAGGGCCGCAGCTGCCAGCCTGACTTGGCCAAAATCACATTGGCGGGAATGCCAAAGTCATTTGGCTCCACCTTTCGATATTTGAATCGAGTTGGTAGGTCTCCGCCAATGATGTCCTCGCGGTCGGTTGCAGTCCCAGACGGCGCCTGATGCTTTCATGAGAGCCGGCAAAGTGTCCTCATAGTCCAGCTGGAAGTACTCATCTATGGACTTATCAGTACCTGACGCATCTTTTGTCAGTGCCAAGCCCGGACACTTCGGGTCTTCACGTTCAATACCTTCGATCTGGCCTGCATCACCCGTCTCCAGCTGCTTACCTTTGAAGTCCTGTACAAAAAAAGTCGCAAGGCGGGCAAGAACAAAAACCTACGTGGGTCCTCGGGGGGCTGGCAGCGCTCCGGAACTTTTCTTCGCACAAACTTGTGCGGGTGTCGCCGAACGCGGAAGCACTTCATGCATAGTCTCAGGCAGAAAATTGGTGGAACCAACATGTGCACATCAATGTGTATCACTCTCATGCTTCACCGGGGTTGATCAAAAGGTTCTTTCCATGGAATGACCTTTGAGAAGAAAAAGAAATCCGCCACATGGGAAAAGTTAACCATGGTCATTTGGGGGCCCTAACTGGAATATGGATCAACCCCCTGCCTGGCTGAGTCGCTGAGGCTCGGGCGTAAAATTCTCACAGACCGCGCAATCCTGATCCAAAGCCACCAGCACCAGACAAGGCTGTTTGACTACCCCAAGATTTGCTTAAACCCAGGGTTTCGTTTTGGGGAAATCGTTAAACCACCCCTTGAATAAAAGACTTTGGGGTTGTCCCAAAACGGAACCCTGCGCAGGAGGCTTCGAAATTGCCGCATCTTAGTGGGTGGAACGTCTGCAGGATGGAAATAGTCGACTACTTCCGCATCTCTTTTCGTCATGCGCGCACTAAATATCCGGAAGCGACGCTTCGAGATGCAGAAGGTTGCAAAGCAGGCTAGAAGAGGAGAGCCGAGGTGAACATAGCCGACAACACGTTCGAAAAACGGCAGAGCGTGCCTCGCTCAAAACGGGAATCAACCCTTTTCTCTTGGATTTTGTTTGGGGGGGCAATGGGGAAGAAGCAAAAAAGTAGTGGGAAGCATAAGGAAAGAGCAGAATCAGAGCGGAACGAAACCCAGAGTGAAGCGAAGAGCGTGGAGAAGAGAGAAGAGACGAGAAAGAGCGGAGAGGAGGAGAAAAGCAAGAAGAAAAAAAAGGGGCTAAGAGCGGAGAGCGAAGCGTCGAATCAGGGAGCTAGCCTGGTGGGCAGGGAGTCGAGGCTGCGAGGGGGGGGGGGGGGTGCAAGGAAACTCAAGGGTTTGGGACTAACACCCGACCACCACACCCCCTCCAAGAGAAGTTTGGCAAGGAAGAACTCCAGGTAAGCTAAGGGCTACATGATTTGCTGATTTGCTGACTGCACAAAGAATGTGCACACCTTTCCTGAGTGAAGAATCTGCAACACACCGCATCACTGGATGGTTGCGAACTCCAATTCGCACCCTTCGCATAAATGGTTGGAAACCATAACCTTGGTATTTACGTTGCTCGGAATCGAATCCATTTCGCCGGGTTTCTTCTCTGGCGCGCAACGGCTTTCGCCCTAGGACTCCCGGGGCTTGACGCCGAGCCGCGAAGCGGCGCTTCCCGCCCGGGATGGGCTTCTGACACCCGTCGCAAAGGAACCAGAGCTCCGGGTCCTCGTAGGGCAGTGCGGGCAACCATAACCAACAAGCTCCAAGCTCTACTGCTCCTCCTCCTCCTCCTCTTCCTCATCTTTTGCCTCCTCTACTTTGTTGCCTTCCCATTCCTGCACATGACAGCTGCAGCCGTAGGCCAGTAGGCCAAGGGCTCCACCTCATCAGGTGCTTCGTCCTCCTTCGGGATCAAATGCAGGCTCGGGTGGGCATGACTTCAAGCAAAGGCCTGCTGATGTCCGATGCCCCAGTTCTTCCTCAGATGCGTCACAACAACTTGCAAGCACAATCCATGGCTGACGTTGCAAACTGATGCAAACGAGCTGCTGCAAACTTTCCACCGCGGCAGTTGACACGTCCAATTCCCCGAGTGCCGTTCCGTCAACCAACTCCTGAAGCACACACACTGCACTACGCATCTGCTCTGGCCTGCTGGCAAACTTCTCCTTTGAAGACAGCGCTTCTTGGCGTTCATCGTAATCTGAGCCCAATATTTGTTCCTCGGATCAGCCCAAGTTTTGCTTGCAGGACATGGGAATGTCTCTAAGACATGCTCCATGGTCTCGTCGTGCTCGCGCGGATCGAATTCTGCATCAAGCATCCCTGCCTCGAGCCCGGTGTCCTGGAAACCGCCAAATTCCCTTCACCTCGTGAAGGAGTTCTTGGTCTACTTGGTTGACTCGGGCATATGGGTGCGCAGGCTCAAAAAACCAATCAAAGGCTGCCCTCCTCATTCCCCGTGACCTCTCGAATCTGCTCCAGTCTTCGAATGATCTCCTGCCCGCGGGTCACACCGATGCGCAACTGCATAAGCAGTCTGCAATTCGCACGTGCCTGCTTCTTCAGATTCTTCAATCTCTTCAACTCTTCGGCCCGGCGCACCTTGAGGCTTGGCGCAAAAAGCAACTACGCTGCGTAAACACTCATTCATTTAGAACATCACCTGCAAACTCGGCCATAGGCATACCATCATTCTCCAGAATCGAAGTTATGACGAGTGCGGGGATAGATCCGCTAGCAGCTGACACTTCGAAAGCTGCTGGCCTTGTCGGTTGCTTTCCTCTCTGCCTTCTCTTTGCGCTGGCGCTTCCGCTTGTCCTCAGCTCATGCCGGTGGGCATCTGGCAAGAACTCGGGATAGGCCCGGGGCACTTCTCTCGCGGACCGAGTTCTCCGGGAAACCTGTGCAGTGGAAGGATAACAAACGAACCCCGGGTTTCCGGCCGTACTGAGCTGCCCACGAGCGTGGCCTTGGATCTGCGAGCCTTCTTCTACCTGCGGTCTCACAGAAGTGGTCTGAGTAAAAACCCGCACTGAGCCAATCGAACCAGTGGGATACCCACCAGGTCACACCCAAGGCCAATATGATGGTCCACAGGCAGCAAACATTGCGGTGCTTTTTCTCACTCACGCTTGCGATTACCGTTGGCTTCAACTTGGTGGCGCTTCGTCCGTTTCCGTGCTGCTTGCTCCTGAGGTTGGGATTCTCATTGGCCTCATGTCTCTGCCAACCTTGCGAGAGAAGTCAACCTCTTCTTGCGAGAGCAGCGGTTGTCGGCTTTCTGCAAGAGAGTGTGGTCGCTTCCACCGCTCCCTTTTTGTCTCTTACCCCGTCTGACGTTTAACGGCTACTAGAGTTCCAGTTTGATTTGGACCAAGCCACCAGGACCTAAGACCCAGCCACCCACCAAACCAGCGATGCCTCACCACGAGCCCTACAAGCCCCGGGCAAAGAAAGCACGCGAGTGTTGCAGCATGCCTCAAAGCGAAAGTTGTAGTCCTTCTCAAACTCATCAGCCTCACGTATGATCCCCAATCGGCTCTCTTGGCTTCTTGAAACTCTGCGCAGGCCTCTTCAAGGTGGTCCGCATCTTCTGCTGAGCTTTCTTCATCAAATACTTCTTTCTGAAGCAGGGAAAGCTGAAACAGCGCGGGTGTACATCATTGCACGTGTGAACAGGTGCAAAAGCCATGTGCAAGAGATTTTGCTTGTTTAGCTTCAAACCTAGCCTTCGCCCCGGTTTGCAGGGAGTCGGTTTCCAGCCATTGCCGATTCATGAGATAATCCCGCAAAAAGCCTCAGCAAGCAAGCTGCTTGGCCACTTTACTCGGCAAAAAGAAAAATAACATCTTGGGGTTGATCTATATTCCTGGCCCCTAAATGACCATGGGTAACTTGTCCCCATGGTGGGAAATATCAAATCGTTCGTGTGGTTTCATTGGTCATCCCATGTTTGCCCCTCCCTTTGATTAAACTCAATCTTTGTCAAACACCGCCTCTTGTTCCATGGCAACTTGCGAAGCAACTCCTCGGAAGCTGTGTGAAGTGCCGCTCACCAAGGGCTCCCAAGCTTACAAGCGCCCGTTGGCATCAAACGATGACACGCTCCGCAATTCTAAATGTGTCAACTCGGCGGGAACCGCAAAGAGGCACCTAGAATTAGATTGCCTCTCATGCCGAATTCATCTCGTCTCAAAGACCCAAGCCCCACTAACACTCAATAACTATTCATGCCTTACCATCTCCATGCCGCTCTAATTCGACCAATATTGAATGGGTGCGGAATTATTTTTGGATTTTTTCGGGATGTTGTTTTTCCCCCCCCCCCCCCGTTTTTCCGTCCGGGCCAGTAAAATGTCGTATTTTACAGCATTTTCTCGCAAAGTTGACGCATTTTACGTTCGCCCGTCAACATCCCCCGCATGTCCGACCAACATCCCTAGCATCACTAACAAATCGTGGTAACAAAATCAAAAATAAAGAAGTAGCTGGGGTTGACGGGGGTCAAAAAAATGATGATTCAAATAGGAGGGCATTTCAATCCCTGAAAAAACTAAAAAGTAGCGGGGGGTTGGGGGGGGCGGCAGCCCCGCCATGATGTTCAAAGAATGGATGATTCAACTAGGGGTGCAATTAAATCTCTGTAGAACATCTAAAACGTAGCGGGGGGTTGGGGGGGTGCCGCCCCCCCATGATGTCGGAAGCAGTGATGATTCAAGTACGGGTGCAACGATTCAAGAAAGGGTGCGATAGAATTTAAAGGCAGCGGGAGGGTTGGCGGGGGTGGCTTCACTATGATGTTCGAAGATGTGCATACATACAAACATACATGGATTACACAGATTACTCAAAATGTCGTATTTTGCAGCATTGTCTCGCGAAATTGGACGCTCGAAAAAGTGATGATTCAATTAAGGGTGCAATTCAATCTCTGCAAGAAATTTAAAAAGTAGCGGGGGGGGAGGCGGCGGCCCGCCCCCATGATGTTTGAAGAAGTGTTGATTCAAATGGGGGTGCAATTGCTCTGCAAACAATCTAAACAGTAGCGGGTGGCTTGGGGGGGGGGCTTCCCCCCTCATGATGTTCGAAGAAGTGATGATTCAAATAGGGAGGAACTGGTGATGCTGATGATGCGGGAAGCCAAATCCAAAAACCAAAGCCAAAAAGCCCGGAAAGGAACTGGGAAAGCAGAGGATGCGAAAAGCCAAAGCCGCCAAAAGCCGTATAAACCAGCGAAAAGCCGCAAAAGCCAGAACTGGGAATGCAGAGGATGCGAACAGCCAAAGCCAAAGCCACCAAAGCCGCATAAACCAACAAAAAGCCGAAAAGCCCAGAAGCCGAGAAGCCAAAAAGCCAAAAAGCCAAGAAGCCGAGAAGCCAAAAAGCCAAAAAGCCAAGAAGCCAAGAAGCCAAGAAGCCGAAAAGCCGAAAAGCCAAGAAGCCAAGAAGCCAAGAAGTCAAAAACACATTGAATTGCTGCCTTGCCTTCATGTTTGCCTTCCTTTAATTCTCCCTTGTGTTTGAAGTCTCCTAACTCCATTCTGGAGTTCACTGAAAATGGTGCTAACACTAGTATTCCCTGAATTCGAAACCTTCACCTCAAAACCGAAGCGACAAATGCTTCCAAACTTAAAACAACAAAAGCCAATGTTGAATTGTAGTCCCGTCTTCGCCTCATGTCCGTCTTTAAGCTTCCTTCCCGTGACACGTACTTTCTCCTGACATCTGAAATCTGGCGAATGTTGGAGATTGCCTTCGAACTGGAAAGGGAATACTTAATATCTTCAACCTAAACCCTAAATCTTTGTGAAGCCCAGAAACCCTGAATTCCAATGTTGATTCCTTGGACAAAACGCACATGCGTTGCATCTGCGTGCCTGACTTCACGTGTCGCCGCGAAAGTAGGATCAGCTCAGCTCGCAGCGCTCGTTCTCATCCAGATCTTCGTCAGCCCGCCAGTAGTTGGCCATTACTTCCTGACACGGCAGGAAGCCTTCCGCCCTTTGCGGCAGGAGTCTGAGGCCACGAGCCCGGCTCTCGCATCAAAAAAATGGCAAAACAAAAAAAAAAAAAACACGCGGCGACTTCCCTGGGGGCTGCAGGTCATGAATGCCTCCCGCCCCGCGTTTCTCTCTCGACCGCGATCCATCGCACCTCGGCGTTGTCTCCTCGGTGCTGCGATTTGTGCTGGAACTGCGCAAATTCCTGCGGGGAAGGCGCGAGAACATGGCGCAATGCCTGCACTCGCTCGGATTAACATGGAAGCTCCTTCAATTGGCCACTGTAAATGGAACCAAGTCTTCCATTTCGGGTTGCTGAGAGCTTCCATGTTAGGCTGGGGGAGGGTAAGAGTTGGCTCCCTTTGCCTGATCCAGCTTTTCCTTTTCCTCCGGGCTTTGCTCCTTGAGCGAAAACAGATCATCACCTGATGCAGCATGAGACACTTCGGAAAGGCCAAAACAAAAGCTACAATTCGATCACTGAAATGTGTAACCACCTTCTTCCACAGATTGCGCTGCTGATCGGATCTCGTCTTGTAAATGCCGCTGCTCTTCAGCTGGAGTCTTCCTTTGTCGCAGGCTATGTCGCTGCACATCTACATGCAAAGACGGCCTTGTCTTCTTCAACGCCATTGCATCCTCTTCACGCGCAATAGCATCTGCACCCTCTTCTAGAAGAGTTTCCCTGACAAATGCGCAAAGCGCAGCCATACAGTGAGGATATGTCACGGTTCCTTGCCTAAGAAAGTTGGAGTATGTCATCTTCTTATCTTTCTTAGGCTTGGCCGTGCTCTCCTGGCAAGTCGATCTGAATCTGGCATGCAAGGACTCTGGTGAGACTGACCTCCTGAAAGTCTTTGTCATCGAAGAAGGTTGCGCTGCCTTTCAGCTTCATAAGTCAAAATACACAAGTTGCCACCTCAACCTTCCCAAGCATTTTTTGCCGAAGATCCGTCGTAGATGCTGGGATCCTTCGCTTTGATCTTGGAGAGCGTCTGAAATATCTTCGATGCAACTTGCCCTGTGAGCAATTCTGCCTGCTCATCTTCAGAGGACTCCTCGCTCACTGACACGATTCATGCCAGCACACTTGCTGCGGGATTTCACAGCCTGCTGCGAGCCGTTTTGTTTGGTCACACCCGAAACCCTAAGACTTGAAAGTCGAACGCTAGGCGCCCCCCACACGCACACACGCACACACACACACACACACACACACACACACACACACACACACACACACACACACACACACACACACACACACACACACACACACACACACACACACACACACACACACACACACACACACACACACACACACACACACAAACAAACAAACAAACAAACAAACAAACAAACAAACAAACAAACAAACAAACAAACAAACACACACACAAACACAAAAACAAAAAACACACACACGCAAAGCACACACACACACACATGAGAGCGCGCGCGGTGCGCGCGCCGCATTAACGTAATTTACACCTCCTGTTCACTGCAGCTTTTGTATGTGATGACTTCATGCATTTGCGGCCAAGCTGCGCCGCAGTTACGCAACAGTGCAAAACAAGTAAAACACGAGAAGCTGACATATTGGATCGATAGACTCAGTGCATGACAACTCGTCAAACAAAACAATGGTATGCATTGGCAGGCTGACCTTTGAAATCAGACATTTCAGTTCCAAAACATCAATTGAGCAGGCTTCGTTAGTGTGAAATGGATTTCGCAACCACCCACAGTATGGACGGAACACGCTCATGTGAGGTGCTTGGCTTCAGCTCGAGTCCTCTGAACTGCTTACCGCATCTTCATCCGCCAAAATGCGCGCCGCCCTTGCGGATTCAATCTTTCCCTTCTGCTCATTGAACCTTAGAGTTATCGCCCAGCCTTTTTGTCGGCTCGGGCTTTCCAGCATAGCCGAATAAAGGCAAGGTGCTTTTTGGCATACTTTGTGGACACAGAGAACCTCAGCTTAACTGAGAACCCCGCAGGCAAGCATTCGGCTGCCTAAATTGCTGACATGGCTCTTGTCTTCGCCAGCCCCTTCACCCAGCAGATCGCCCAAGTGCCCTGCCACCGGAGCAATCCATCGCGTCTGAACGGCTTCCCCCTCCCAAGCACTCGCTTGGCCAAATGTTTGCAAAACGCAGTTTGCAGCACCGGCAGCAGTGGTGGTGGTCGTGGTAGTGGTAGTGGTATGATTGTACTTCTATCTTTAAAAGATTGTGGTACACAGCCGACACCACATGAAAACTGGGAAGCAAACCGCCTGCAGCCTCATCTGTTCCATCATCTTTCACCTTCGCCCCGACTGGCTAACAAATGAGACAATTGGATGAACTCGCAGCCACAACCCAGCCTGTTTCTTTTTGGTGCCACTGCTCGACTTTGGGCCGCCTTCAGGGCAAGCACACAATCACACAGCCAGCCACTTCCATGCAAAGGTTCGCCCAGGCGATGTTCAAAGACATGAGGACGCAGCTGCTTTTGCTTTTCACCATGGTTTACCGTGGAAGCCATCCGAAAACTAAGTGCAACAACAAGGAAAGCCTTGATATGCGTGTAGTGAGCCAATGCATCTACAAAGACTATGCACCAAGGGCCAAAACCGTGCAACTTCTTGCAACATTTGCTCGCTGCTCGTATCATGAGTGTCTGAGCCAAAACGACTTGCTGAAATAGTTCACCACAAGTTCAACTTTGTCCCCGGAAGCATTGCGAAGGGTTCTTCGCAAAAAACAGCTTCAAAATACACAAGCTTGAGAGTATGTGAGACAGACGCCCGTAAACACATTATCGAAGAACCTTCGTGTTTTTCCCCGCTTAGATGTAAGTCACAGTGCGAAATGTGTTTTCAATTGTTCACAATGTGATTGACAATCTGAAAGTGTTCTGGTGTCAGTCACAATGTGATTGCGAAAGTCGCCTCCTTCGAAACGTGTCTTTCTTTATAAACTTAGATTTTTGGCTCGGCTCCCTTTTGTCAATTGCGTTCATGTTTGGAGATGCCCTCAAGATGTGATGTTTCGAAGGTGGCTTCCGCAATCTGGGGACCACAGGATGGTCTCGGGGAGCCGCCTCCTGGCTCGGGCTCCGGCTCGTGAGGTCCCATTCACTTCCGCTCTGCCACGGCTGCTGCGTTTGTCTATGGTGACGCCTGTTCGGGGTTCTCCTTCTTTGGTGCTGGTCCACGCGCCTGGGACTCCCCCTGCGCATGCCCCGTCTCTCACCGCTTGGGCGACCGCAAAAAGGAGCCCCGAGAAAAAAAAAAAAAAAGGAAAAAAAAAAAAGGAAAAAAACTACTTATCGGACGATTGTAACCGGGCTTCCCGCAACAGTTATTCGGTTCTGGGGGTGGGAAGAGGAGGTTTCCGTTTTGGCTGAGACAGAGAAACAACACGAGCTCCAGTGTTTGGTTTTCTCTGACATGTGCGTTTTGAGGTTGTGCTCCTGATGGCCCGCCCTGAGGGCCGCAGCAATGAGCGGTTGACACGCTTTTTATTTTCCGTTTGCTGGCCCGGGGCATGCCTGTCCGGGCGGCGTTGCTGACACGCGCTTTCCTAACCCGCCGCTCACTTGGTTGCGCTAGCTGAAATTGGAGGGTGGCCGAGCGGGTCGCGAGTCCCTCGGTCAGGCGCAGAGGCCCCTGAAAAAGCGGCCATGGTTCATGTGCTGGTCTTGCTACGCACGCGCCCATGATCGTTTTTGACATCACAGCATCCTTGCTGACAGAGGGTCGACGCCCCCGCTTGAAAGCATGAACCTGCTACGTACACATTCGAACATCAACTTGACTTGAACGTTCTTGCGCAGGCGCGATTTTCCAAATTTTTTATTTCAAGCCCAGTTGGCGACGGGCAACAACATGCAGTCGTGTTTTTTGCACATTTGTTTCTTGATGTTGGGCGGCCTTGGCTACAATCCCGCCTGTCCACATAAAACAACTAGACAACAAGTGGCCCCGGAAACATTCTGCGGCATGCAATGGAAACCAGTTTGGCCCGATTGCCCCAAGTCTCTCGAAACCCTCGCAAAACGTATCGGGGCTAAGATGCAGCTGCCGAGGGGGAAAAGATTAAGATAGCACCGATTTAGCAATCCGCTGGATCTTTTTCATTGGTTTTTAGCATGTTGTTGCCCATGTGCCGCATCAGCACAGAGGCAGCTGATTTTTTTTCCGCACACCTTTTGTGAAACGTGCAGCCGCCGAGACCCCGAGGCGGCGACACGCCGAGGCGCGCCGAGTGAGGCGCTCAGCTACGAAGAGGGAGCAAGCTAGGCCCGGAAGGGCCGGCCATAGCGAGGACTTCAGCCAGGTCGGGCTCGCCCGCAGCCGCTGGCCGTGCCGGGAGCGCGCTGGAGCGCGACGCTAAGCAGCGTCCACCAGCGCCGACAGCCCCAGCAGCCGCTCAGCGCACAGCCGGGGGCGCGCGGAGCCGGTCTTGCAGGCGAGGACAACGAGCCGCTGAGGGCCAGGACGCCGCAGCTCGGCCTCCTTGCGCCTACGCGCGGTGGCGATCGCAGCTCCTTCCTCATCTGCGGTCCGACGGGTGGCGTCACATGCGCATGGCTCCATACAAGACAAGGTCGAGGCGACGTCAGTCGCCCTCAGCAACACCCGGCGCGGAGGTGTTCGCAAGCCTTCAGGCCCCAGGCCCGCGCGCGACCCGCACCCAAGCCTGCTCCAGCAAGGGGCGCGGCGCACGAGGAGGCCGCGGCGTGGTCGCTGAGCGCGTCCAGCGCAGCGCCGCAACCCGGAAAACCATCCCCTCCGCATCTCCGGTGAGCAAGGGCAACGGGAGGCGTGCACGCCAGCGCAACCCGACGTGCACGCCGGGGGCAAGGCGGGGTCGGAGCCGGCCACTCGGCGCCGCATTCGCAGAAGGGCCGGCAGTGTGTGCCAAATCGCCTGGTCATGCGCCTCTGCATACGTCGCCGACTGGGAGGGCGGCACCGTGCGGAGCAAGTGCTGAGCGCGGGGCGTGCAAGTCGGGCAGCTGAGGTGATGCTTTTCACGGAGGCGTCCAGCAGCACACGCCTCGACGAACTCCGGGCTCCCGATGGGCGTGCCAAGCGCTACAAAACGATGTAGAGATCGTCCAAGGGGAAAACGGCGACAAGCCTCGTGCTGCGCAAGTCGTCGCCCTGCTCGCTCCCATCCCCCTGCTGAATGCGGTGGCAGACGCCATCGTCGTCCCACCACAAGCACACAGACTGGCGTGCGCAGAACGCGCGCACGAACGGCAAAAGCGCTGGCGAAGCTTGGTGAGAAAGGCAGCGAGTGACACCGAGTCGTAGCCCTGTTTGCGGCTGAGGCGTGCAAGTTCGGCTTGCGGCGCCGTGAGCCTGTTGCACAGGCCCCTGGCTCGTGGCGAGCCATCCCGCGGAACCGGCTTTTCTTCTCCCTACCGTCCAGAGCTTTGTCAGTTCCGGATCAAGTCGGAAACGCAGGGGTGTGGCAAAGCCTTTTCGGCTCGCGCTGTCGCTGCGGCTTCGCACGCTAGGGGAGAACCAGCCCTTCTTTCTTTTTCCGGCGGCCCGGGACTCAGGCGCTTCCGTGTTTTGCGCCACGCGGAAATTGCCTAGGCCTAGCCAGTTTGGCTCACGGCGCCGCGCGCCCTGTTGTTGCCAGGCCCAAAGTTTCGTGGTGGGTTGCTCCAGTGTCTAACTTCGCCCTGTGTTGGGGCCTAGGTTAGCCTGTCTTGGGCCCGGCAAGGGTGCACGCTTGGTGACCCAGGTACCAAGCAGTGAGCTCGGAAGTTTGCAGAAACTTGCCTGTTCACGGCAGGCGGAGTTGAGTTTCCAGGATTAAAAAGGATGCGCTTGCGACTCATGTCTGGCCGGTCGCGCAGTGCCAGCCACAAGATAGCGCGCCTGACCAGTTTGCGACGGCGCCAGCACACGACGACCAGCTAACGACATGGTGCCGGGAGGAGCGCCTTCCCGCCTGCCGGGCGACAGGACAGACCAAACCATCGTTATGGACCACACGGTCCGGACTTTCACGGTGCAGGATGCGCCGGAGCCGCCCACACCAGCGCGCGTGATCATCCAGTGTCGCCGGGCTGGCAGCCGTTGACGCAAGGCGCATCAAGATGTCGCCCATTCTGTGGAAAATGGTTGGGATTCACGAACGAGTATTCGCGCGCGCGGACGCTCACCCCGCAGACATTTGCATGAGGGAGAAGCGCGCAAAGGCCCCTAACCCCGACCACATGATTTTATTTTTTTTTGCGCGCACCTTTTTGCGTTTGCCCACGCGGTGAAACCACATGATTCGGGTTCCCCGCACAAGCTGGGCTTGGCTGGACACCGCTTGGAAGCTTTGCGGAGAGTGCCCGTAAGGAAGTGCGAAGGGGACGATGGAGCTGCACGGGTGGCTCAGCACCGTTTCGACATCCAAGGCATCGGGAAAGTGGGCGGCGGGCCTGGAGGCAAGGCTGTCAGTGCAGCTGGCCGCTTGTCACTATGCTCAACGAGTTGGGTGTCAGGCACAGTTGGCGCTGCTCGCCTGCGGGTTGCTGGTGCGGCCGCGAGGTCATGTACTGCGTCCGCGTTTGCCAGGGGCTCGGCAGGGGCCGCCCGGTACCCTCCCGCGGCGGTCACGAGCCCGCGCCCGCCTACGAAAACCAACGGCAAAACTTCTTGCGCAACCGCAGGGATGTAGCCGTCAGCAAGCATGCAGACCCGGGCTTGTTGCAACACACCCGCCACAGCCAGCTCTGCGGCTGTGAGTTGGTTGTCCAACGCTCGGAAAATTGCTTGGATGTGGACCGGGACAGCGCAGTGGAGGTGGAGAAAAGTGTCCCGCCACACTGGCCCAAAAAAGGCATGATGCTTCCCACTGCTCAAAAGCCTCTCTGCGCAGATTCCCGGCCGCGGCTTGCAATAAAGGAGCTGACAACAAGCTGTTCTGCGGCAGCGTCACTGGTGGCCGGCGGGCCCCTGGAGAGCCACGAGGCGCCAGGCCTAGCAGGCGTTTGTGCTTGCATTCGCTCCTGCGGCGGGCATCTGCTGGGGCTGCTGTGGTACTGGCACTGGTTCAGGGCTGGGTTGCTGCTCTTGCCGTGGCTGCTGTTACTGCGGATCCAGAGCCAGCATGGGCAGTTGAACCTCTGCGCACGGAAGCCCCGGCAACAAACCCAACCACGTTGCCCGTGGGCAATGTAAGGGCAAGCGTACGTGGGCCATGCGCAGCACAACATGCCACTTCAGGCACTTGTTGCAGGCAGCATCGGATGCTCGCTCGTGACACGCGAGTTATTATTTGTTTTCCTCCCTCCTCCTCCTCGCCAGCATGTGAAAGCTAGGCCTAGGCGAAACGCGCTCTACGACCCCATCAGCCTTCGGAACCAGGCCGTCCGGCGGCGAGGCTTGTCAGCCGGGCCGCAGCGGCCATGCCGCGCGACCGCTAGCACCTCGGGCAAGGGCGGCGCAGCTCCATCCAAGGCATCCTGGCCCGCGCTGGGCGGGCCAGCAAAGGTGGCGGCGAGCTGCCCCGCAACGCCGGACCAACGCTAGTGAAAGGCCTGCAACGCTAAGGCACGCAGC